CGTGTCCACAGCTCATCTGGTGGTCAGCCAAGTGGAAGTCCATCACTTCACCGCGGTGCCACCTGCTGGCCCCTTTCACTCTCTCGCTCTGACCCAGACCTTGCTTTCTTGAGCTATAGGCCCACAGACTCGCCCACAGCCCAGTGTTACCCCAAATAGCTGTGTCTCCAGCAAAGTTCTCTCCTTACTTGTCTTTGCTCCAGAACATCTTGGTTAACAGTACCCCCCCCCCTTTTTACCCCATTTATTCAATCTAGAAACCCAAGAGTCAGCCTTGAATCTTCATCTCCTTCACTCCCATCCCCAACCCCTCCCAAGCCCACCAAATCTAACAAGTTGTGAGTCCTGTGTGGTTTACCACAAAATCTCCCTTCTGGTCTGTCTCCTCCTCTTGTCTCCATTCCTTCTGCCTGAACTCTGGTTCACAGTGTTGAATTCTTAAACACTCTAACCTACCCTCCCTACCTTTGTTCTAGAGTAAAGATCTTTCTAAAATGAAAGTGCGATCACGTCTCCTCCTAGGCCCTTTCATTAACAACTTACGATCACCTCTCATCTATGACCCACGGGGTAAGGCCAATTTTACCAAGGCTTTTCACAACTTGACTCCTCCCTCACTCTCTAGCTCCTGGACTTGCTGCCCCTCAGCGCTTATCTCTGCACTAGTTAGCAGCCTTGCCTCAGGGCTGGCAAACTTGTTTCTGTAAAGGGGCTACCAGTGCGTCTACTAAGCTTGTGGGCCCTGTGTCAGCTGCAAAGGGCTCCATTCTGCCCTGAGGTGCTCACGAGCCGTAGTATCACTGCGTTTCACTAAACTTTTATTTATGGACACTGAAATTTGAATGCCATATAATTTACAGGTGTCATGAAATACTATTTTTCTTTTTTTTTCTTCAATGATTCAAAATGTATTGGATTGTTGGAAAAGTCATGATGCATTTTTGCATAGGTAAACAGAAAAAATATGTCATGTCTTTTCTGACAGCCCAATAAAACCCATTCTTAGTTGGAGATCATACCAAAGCAGGTGAGGATGTATTTGGACGGTAATCCCTGCTCTGACACAGAAGTAACCATGCTTCCTTCGCCTTAGCGGTGTCATGCTTCCTGACCTTTGCTTTGCCTAGAACGCTCCCTCCTATTGTCTGTTCAGCACATTTCTGACATCTGTATAACCTGCATTTAAATCCTTGCCTCTCTTTCTTTTCTTTTCTTTCTTTTTTTTTTTTTTTTCCTTTGGCCTTCCTTAAGTTCCTCCAACCAAACTAATTGCCCTTTGATCTCTGGTCCCAGAACTCTTCCTCAGGCCTCAATTACAGCTCTTCTCATGCTGTGCAGAAGTTAGATTTGTATGTTTATGCCTCTCATTAACTTGTTCTCCTTGAGAGCAGAGACTGGCCAAGTCATGTTCATCTTCTATGCTGTCACGGAATTATGTCACACAGAAGATGCTTATCTGATTGAACACAAATGCCTCCTTTCTGACAGCCAGTTAGAGGTGGAACGCAACGAGAACTCAGACCTTCTGATACCCTGTGGTATTAGTTAAACTTGTGTCTGGCCACGAATACCCGCAAACGCTGATTGACCTGAAATAGAATAAACTATGCTATGTTGTAGGTTATTTATCCTTTTCTAAAAATATAATTATTTTTTGTTTCCCTGGGAACAAATATCCATTTACTGGCATACATCTGAAGTGCCATAAATCACCTGAGACTCTAATGCCATAAAGCTGAGCATGGGCGAGCCTGATCTATGCTGGTGATCCTCCACTTGCTCCCCCTGCGCTGCCCTCTCTCCAGACCTCATCACCTGACTCCACCTGCTTCATCCTCCAAAGTTCTCAACGCCAGTTGGCCTCCCAGTGCACTGGGCAGGACAGAGCAGGGCTCTGTTCCTTGCCCCTGGCTTCCTGCTGCGTTGGCACCAAGGCACAGCAGATCAGAGGGAGGAAGGGAGAGGTCCCCTCCTCCCACACTGCATCATGTTTGGCAGTAGCTTTGCAGGTCTGCCAGGGCCCTCTTCCATGGCTCCAACTCTTGCCACTCTGTCCTTCGGTCCATTCAAGCTTAGTGGTGGCAAGGCCACCTTGCTAGTTCGTCCACAGGGTCTCTCCATCTCCGTGGGTTCCTTTAAGCCCACCCTCACTTCTGTAGATTGTCCCCTTTCTAAGACTTCTTCAGGTAAAGCCAGGGAGTATCCGGCCTGCAAGGTCAAGAGTGCTGAGGCTGGGAACCCTCAGTGGAGTCGCCAGGTGAGTCACTGTTATGTGACCTGCACATCCCTGCACTGTGTACGCTCGGTCTGGAAAACACCAGCTAGAGCAGGTACCAGGACAAAATCTCTTGTTAGCACAGTCCCAGTATGTAAGCATTCCAGAGCCAGAGCAACACCAGCAGTTCAAACCCTGGCTCCAACACACTGCTGTTGAGACCTTGGGCCAACTCTGTGCCCTCGTGACTCTCCTCCCTCATCTGTAATACGGGGCTAAATATAGTACTTCCTTCACCCCAGCTCCATCGGGCTTGAACAGGGTCATCGGTGCCAAGTGCCTGCGCCCTAGGGAGTCCTCCTGAAACATGGGCACACGCTAGTCTGCAAAACTCCATCGTGGGTCATGCTCGGGGAGATGGGAAGGAGAGAGGGCCTGCTTTCAAGAAGTTCATAATTAAAATAGTATTTTTCTCATTGTGGGGTGTTCTCTGCTATAGGCTTTTGAAATTAAGTTAGCGTTGGCACTAGCATTGAATAATGGAAGAGACTTTCAGGGCGATCTCGGTGAGGGTAAATACCACTTGGTGACATTTTCCCTTTAGTTCTACAGATGCATGTGTGTACTTGGTTGTGAAGGAAAATATATCTTTTTACAGTGGGTGAGATTAATGAAACACAGTTTAAAATCCACTGGTCAAATAGGAAAGGCAAAGTACCCAAAGCTCTGTAAGAGAAGCCCTGTGATTTTGCTGGAAAACTCACATATCCTGCAAAAGAATTTGAGCGTCACTGTTTATGGGCTGTGTGATCCCGAGCTAGTTACACAACCTCTTTGACCTTTAGCTTTTCCAATAGAAAAAATTGGGAGTAAAAACGTGGCACTGCGCTCTGGGGAGGAATGAATGGGGCAATGCGTGTACAGTGCCTTGCACAGGGTCTGCAGCTGATGCGTGCTCTAGACCAGTGATTGATCCCCAATCTGTTTGGGACCAGGGACAGGTTTCACAGAAGACAATTTTTCCATGCCCAGGGATGGTGGTGAGGGAGATGGTTTGGGGATATACAAACACATTAAATTTATTATACACTTTGTTTCTATTATTACTACACTGTATCATACAATGAAATGATTGTGGGCTTGTTTTCCTGCAACTAGACAGTTCCATCTGGGGTCTCCTATGAGCACCGCTGACCTGACAGGAGGCGGAGCTCAGGCGGTAATGCGAGTGATGGGGAGTGGCTGTAAATACAGATGAAGCTTCACTTTTATCTGCCCGCAGTTCACCTCCTGCTGTGCAGCCCAGTTCCTAACAGACCATGGACTGCACCGTTCCACAGCCTTGAGGTTGGGATCTTTGCTCTGGGGGCTGCTTGGGCTGAGTTCTTGTTACCTATGGTCTGGCATAATGTCTTAACCTATCATGATGACAAATGGGCCCTCAGTGACTCAATATTAGAAACACCCGGCACTTATTAATCACATGAAATTATAACCTTCAGTTCTGCTTTTCTCTGCTAGAAAAAGATTCTGAGCCAGATAGGCGCTCCGCTCACACTGAGGCCCAACTGCATAATAGGCACCATCTCCAAGAAAGCTCTCTGGCCGAGGTTTTGTTAAGTTCATTGGATTAAGTTTTTATTGTTGTTGTTGCTCTTATTCTCAGGTTTTTCAGATGTGTGCTGCTACCCAAGGCTAAGTGAATGAGGCGGTTTATAAAAGCTTCTGATTTTAAAGGTAATGTTTCTGCCGTTGGTGCTGCATTTATCCCAGTTTTGAGCCGGAAAGCCGGGTCCCAGGGGCCTCATAGAGGAGGCTCCTCTCTGCCTTGTGCCACCTCTGAGGAGGGTCCAGCAGGTACCTGGCCTCAAGTGCTGCAGCTTCAGATAGGCCCTTATACTTAATAGGTGTGCAATATAAATTTGCTGTCAAGTCTATTAAAACCAACATCAACCAGTGATCAGTAACAGTTAAAGGCTTAATGAGCAGGTTACGAGGCCAATCCTTGGTGTTTATCTCTATAAATTTTGAGTATTTCAAATAAACTCAAGATTGGAAATGAGCGCTCGCCCACTCCCATGGATGTGCTAGATTTTTAGATTTCCTCCTGTTTAACCACCCTGTTGATAGATAGTTTTTGGGTGTGAGAATTCTTCATTATCGGAGCATAAATCTGCCCACCTGCAGCCCCCGCCTGCCATTCCAGGCCTGATCTCTGCCCCTAGACAGCTCCTCTCAGATCTGAGCACCTGGGCTGCAACACTGCCTACAGCCACTTGCCTGTCTCTGTCTCACGTTGCTTGTGGGCAAGGGGAAGAGCTGAAATTGGCTGCTCCCCTACTTTGTACGAGATGGGCTAAAGGCTGGTGGTTAAGAAGGTGGGCCCTGGATTCAAAAGACAGGAGTTCAGATGGCCTTGGGAAGTTGGCTTAAACCTCCTGAGCCTCCACTTCCTTTCTATGAAACAGGGCGGTGACAGTATTTACCTCCCAGAAATGAGGAGATGGAGTGAGAGGGTCGCCGAGAGCCCAGCACTGCCTGCTCTTAGAAGGCACTCTGAGCAGTACCTATCACCGTCAGCCTGGCCTGAAGAGGCCCAGCTCGGGCTACCAATTGGAGTAACGTCACTCCTGGGGTGGGAGACCACAGGGAAAATGCACAGTGGATAGGTGACAGAGGCAAAGATGCCCTGAGGCCACACAGGACCGGTTTAAGGAGGGGCTGAGTCTGCCAGGCGCCATTTCTGCCGCCCACGGAGGTAGGGTGCAGTTTCAGGCCTGCCTACCTTGGTACTGGGCGCTGAAACCACGCTGCCGGTGGTTGCCGTCCGACGTGAAGTGCAGCCGCAGCCAGTTCTTGCTGCTGATGACAGGGGGCCGTGAAGGGCAGCCGCAGCCAGTTCTTGCTGCTGATGACAGGGGCTGGGAGGCTGGCCCCGGTGAACCTGTGGGAAGGAAGCAGGCAGGGTGAGGGACCAGAGCTGGGTGGCCAGGGCACAGGCACCCGGGAGTTTCCCCTCATCCTTCGTGTGCTGGGGCCTCAGCCTGGCTCTGGCTCAGGCAGGGAGGGCTGGGCAACCCAGCTGCCCTCCGGTGGCCTGGGGCCTGGGCAGCTTGAGGTGGCTCCTCTAGGACCTGGCCCCACCGCTAGGCCTCCTGAAATGCTAAGAGGAGGGGACTGAGCCTTCAGGCCTGGAGCAGAGCTAAGCATCCCCTACTTACAAGTGAGCTTTCCACGCTTTGTCCTTGTGCCAGGCTTTTTGCCTTCTTCGCCTAGAATGCACCCAGTAACCCTTTCACCTGCACCATACATGTCACCTGAGTGACTTTGGAATGCCCCTTGAATATGGCATCCCTAGGAAAGTCTTTTCTACTTTTTTTGGCTTTGAAGCCACACGGCTCTGGATTGAGATCCAGGCTCCAGCGGTGTGATCTCGGACAGCCCCTGAGCCTTTCTAAAAATGAGGCTAGCTCTAAGAGTTTGTGGGAATAAATGATAAATCTGTGGGAAAGAACCTAGTCCGATGTCGGACACATATTCGATCAATAAATATGATTTTCCTGGGACCAGCAGTTAGCATAATGGCTATGTCGCTGGACTCCCACGTAGTCGACCGCAGTTCGCGTCCCGGACCCGGTGGCTTAAAACTCACGCCAGGGGCGTGTGCGTGCGTGCCCAAGATCCTGAGAGGAGAATAGAGGAGAAGGGATTGCAGCGTGACCATCCCCCCTGGGGGGTGATTTCTCGCTTTCTGTCTCTCTGTCTCTCTCTGTCTGGTGAGCGCACGTGCCCTGTAATATTCAAATTATAACTCAGTTACGTGGGTGTGTGTCTCCCTAAAATAACACCTCGAGTGGGGCAATGTCGCTTATCAGTGAAGCAGTTAGAGCTGCAAAGTGACCAGCTTGTAATCACAGAGAAATCTTTGGAGACTTGTGAGTTATCTATAAACGGGGTGATAACAGCCCCTCTCCCATACAGGCACAAGCGAGCTCGGGATAAAGGCAGCTATTTTTTGGGGTACCCTTCACTCTCCTGGTGGGATGGTCTAATCTCGGCTCCCAGCCCCTAACACAGCCCCTAGCACGGGCAGACTGTCAGGGCTGCAGCAGAGAACACCCGGCATGGTCATGTGAGAATAACGCAGGAGATCTACGAGGGACTCTTTACAAAGGCAAGACCAGCGAGAGGGCAGCACCCCGGGGCTGCTATCAGGAGAGCTCGTTATCAGCCCCCATTCTGAAAGAGGGAGAACAGGAAATTGCTATCCCTATACAGAAGCCACCATTCAGGACCCAGACCATCCGTGGTGAACATCCCAGCAGGAAGGGTAAAGAACACCCAGAACGGCTCAGTCTCCCCTCCTCCAGTCTCCTGCCGGTGCTCCTGTGAACCTGTCCAGCTGGTTGCCAAGAAGCACAGGGCGCAGCCTCAGAGGAGGACCAGGAGGGACAGATGGCAGAGACCCAGCTCATGGGTCCTTACAAATATGTATTAAACAAAAGAGCTAACCAAGGCACTTCGCACCCTGCAAACTGAATTCTTACTACAGTGAAAACGCTGACACACGCCATACTCCGGGAATATAACGCATATTGCGGTGGTGAGAACTGTTATAGAAACCAATTACTGTATTTCACCAGATCCCATTTAAAATAGTTTATTATAGCCTGAGTCATTTAAGTTTTCTAAGGAGCCACAAATGGTATTGTGAGTTTTTTCTTTTCCTCAGGCCAAATTCAATTCTATTTCAATGACAAAGCTTAGAGGCTATTTACATAAGGGAACTAGAAATGGGCAGAACTTACCTGAATAATTCAAAACCAAAGGCTCCTTACTGCAAAATGGAATGAGGAGAGGGCACCCCGGTCTTAAGAGCAGGATGAGGGTGATGCTCGAAATTGTAACCGGAAGTTGGTAAGACTTCCCTACCTGAGATCAGGGCAGGATCGTCTGGCAGGGGACACCTGTGTGTGCTGCAGGAGCTCATTCGGACAGACTCTGGAGAAGGCCAGCCTTCACCTCCCACCGAGCCCACTCCCGGGAATCCTGGAAACTGTTCATTCCTGGGGCCCCAGCTGTCAAGGCCCTGTTGCCCACACCTCTCCTCTGCCGCACCCTACTCCCGGGCACAAACACGGATACTGGAGAGCTCTCTTGGCACTTATTAAAGAGTTGGGAGCTTCCGTGACAGACCTGTCACGTGCAATGGTCGAGAAGGTGTCATGCCTTGCCTTGCTCAGCACTGTCCAGTGAAAGTGACAGTGGCCCTGAGAAGTACAACCATCAGTTCTCACTGTCTTAAATAGGAACATGACCTTTCTAGTAAAGGAAAAGAAGGGGGCCCGGGCCTGGGTAAGTTACTTCGGACGGAAAGCTGAGCGGGGCCGTCCGTACCCCTCCAGCTCATCCACACTTCCTGCGCACTCCGATGACCGGCCTACGGGACCACATCGTGACAGGTGCAAATAAAGCCGGGGAGCTCCGGGTGTCCAAAGGGCTCTTTGTCTTGAGCTCTTTACCCAGAACAGACCTGATGATAGTGTGTCCCCTGAGCCCTCCTTAAGACTGCCCGGCACTGCACATCCACGAGAGCGTCACCGCGACTTCTCTGCCTCTCCATCTTTAAGAGTCTTGGACTCTGGCCTTCTCCTGGTGGCAGCGCCTTTAATAAAGCCTTCCGCTAGGCAAACTCTCATCTCAGGAGCTGGCTTGCTGTGCTGGGACACGCACCGTCCTCGACTCTCACATGACGCTGAGCAATCCGGAGCGTGTGCTGTAGGTGTGCGCTGCGGGAGCTCGTTCGGACAGACTCCGGAAAAGGTCAGCCTTCACCGTGAGGAAGCAGAGTACTGGTGGGCGGAGCGGTCCAGGCGGGAGGTCCAGGCGGGACAGTACAGGGAACTTTCGGGGCCGATGGCCGTGGTCGGCGTCTTGATTGAGACACTGATCATATGGGATGCACACATCAGTCAGAGCCCCAAAGAACGATGTGCTTAAAGTGGATAATTTCATTTTATGTAAATTATCCCTTAATAGAGTTAATTAAAACCAAAGTAAAACAAAACTGCAATGGCCGCCGATCCTCGGAGTAAGAGAGCCAACTATGGCCTCCAACTATGGCCTCCAACTACGGCCTCCGCGGCCTTCGAAAAGACAGTGTGCCCCCGACCCCCTTCTCGCCTCTTCATTCTTCATGCTCCGGCCACGTGGGTCTCCTTGCTGTCGGACACGGGCCAGGCCCTCTCCTACCTCAGGGCCTTCACTCTTGACAGTCTCTGTCAGGCTGGCTCTTCTCGCAGACCTCCACCTGGCTCCCTCCGGCTTCCTCTATGCCTTTGATCAGATGTCACCTCCTCCGTGAAGCCTTCCCAGTCTGACTCCTGCCTGGCTTTTATGCTGAGAGTGTGTGTGTGTGCAGGCATACACACACACATGCACACACACACATGCATGTACGCACATAGATACACACATGCACACATACACACACGCATGCGCACACATACATACCCACATGCACAGACACCTCTCTGGTCAGATGAGCAAACACACACTGGAACACGCACTGCTCTCTGCTCCTCTGCCTTTGCCGTGGCTGCTCTTTATGCCCTTTCCCATTGCACAGAAATATCAAGGAACTTGCTCAAGCTCACACAGCTCTGAAGAGGCAGAGGTGAGATTCCAGCCCAGGTTATCCCACTTGGATCCACGCACAGGGAAGGAAGGCAGAGGCACAGCTGAGGCTGAATTCCGTTCTCTCCCTGCTCCTCCTCCCTTTCCTTCCCCCAGGATCCTCTTTAATTTTGCACCCTCTTAGAATCGTAATTAAAGGAGAGAAACACAAAGAGAGAGTGTCCCCTTCAAACCTTCCTGTCCACATTAACTTCGCTGTGGGGGGTCTGGGGAACTCCGAGTTGGACCAGGAAACTGCTACTGCAGTGAAACATAAAATGTATTTAAGCAATGACACTCATTTTTTTTTTCTTTCTGGTAAATTGACTTCCACTAAATGGGTCTTCATTAATGGAATCTGGCTCAGGGAGGATAAAAAAAATGCTTCTTTGAATGCCTAGAGTCGAATATGGAGAGCGTGGCTTTGAGTTCCAGGAAGAAAGCTCTAAGCGCTTGGTAATGGGAGAGCAGGGAGCAAACTGTGAAAAACATGAGAAGCAGCTTCTTGTGTGGTCAGGACGTGGGGTGCTGAGACACCCCACCAGAGGACATGACTGCAAGGCGTTGCTGCCAGCCGAGGGCAGGGGCACCGGGAGAGGGTGGTTTCAATGCCAGCATCTCTGAAAACTCACAGCCTCAGGAAGAAAACCCATCCATCCCTCAGGAGCACTGGCAGTGGTTTCCTGCCTGTGGGGGCCATCGCTGCTGGGGTTCCCTAGATGTCGGGGGTCCTGGCAAAGCCTGGGATCTGCGAGATTCAGCCGCCATGCCCCTTCTTGGTGCAGCCTCCATCCTGTGAGGCAATGGCATGCAGCGTCCTTCCAAGGCCTCCTGAGGGCACCGCCTTCCAGCTAAGCTTGTGCAAGGCCGTCTGATTGAGGGGGCATCTCTGAGCTGACACCAACCAAGCAGAAGCCACCCTCCATCCAGGGCTGGCGGGGGTGACATACAACAGGCACCTGCCCTCGCCCTCTCCCTGCACCCAGCCCCTTCCCTTCCCACCTGCCATCTGCTCTACCTGGATGGATGGAGAGGGAGAGGGCACTGCGACACAAGCAGGGAATCCTTTTTATAAAAGAGATTTTTGCCACAGGGTGTGTGCATTTGCCTGAGACAGAGACAGAGCCAGAGAGAGGGAGAGTCAGGAATCCACCCTGCCCCGGCACCGTAATCCCTTCTCCTCTTGGGGTTTTGGCCATGCACATACACCTGGCAATTTTCAGGCTGCCTCTGGGACTTGAACCGTGGAGTCGGCCACGTGGTATCTAG